ACGATTGCTTTGATATTATTCATATTGTTCATTTTCTAATGATGTCTTCAGTTCTTTAATTGAAATGTGCATTGCTAACAGCGGAGCTATCTCAGCCGATAGGCTGCTTGTTTATAGTTTGAATGCAAATAACTGAAATGGAAGCTTACAAGAGTTTTGAAATTTGTTCTTTTCTTTTCAAGGTCTTTTGAAGAAAGCATGAATTCTTTGACATCAGAAAAACCGTGGACCACGAAATTAAGCAGTGCTGGTCTTGTATATCTGCACTTTGGGCACAGTGTTATCGCCCGTACACTTCAAACATTGCCAGATGACAAAATAACAAAAATCATTTTTGATAAAGTCTATGAGAGTTTCATAGAAGAAGTGGATGCCATTGATAATGGCATATCACAATGGGATGAGAAACCAAGGTCAGTATGATTGTTTGATAACACTTTACTCCATGATTGCAATTCTGGAGGAGGTGTATTTACCATCTTCTGTTAGTTGCCTAGCAACTATTGTGTAGTTTAATCTGAGGTACATATTCTGTTGATTTCAGGTATTTATTAACCACTAACCTGAGCTGTAGAGTAAGCAATTTGAATCCATGGTGGAATGATACAAAAGTTGATGTGGAGGTGAGTAGATAACCTTGTGTTTATTTCTATGGAAATGTACTGTAAAACCGTTTATTTTCACTAGCATTTTCACCATTTTGATGCTTTGAGCAATTTTTCTAGGTTTTAATTCACAAACTTGGCAGCGAAACGAGTTCTATTGTTATTCTACATGATCACATGGATTTAATTTAACAGATTTTTATTATTGGTGAAAATAGCGATAATAAAAACCAGTGACTAAATAATGCGCTCACATTATTTACAACTTTGGTGTGTGTTTTTTTTTGAAGCTAGGTTTTTATTTTATTTTATTTTTTAATATTTTTGTCCCAGGCGACATTTCTGGACATTGTCCCTCAAAACAAATAAGGCATGCTTTGGAAAGGCACTACTAATACAACTACTGAGTGAACAGTCGGCTCTGGGAATCAAATCTGCTCTGGCCTTGATTTTATGGTAGAACTGCAGTAAACTACACTGTTTAAAAATATATTCTATACAGTGACATTCTAGACATTATTGATAATTGAGCTATATGAAAATCATCTTCTTAACAAGTAGTAATATCAATGACTGTTTGGTAGCCATATAGTTATTATTCATGTCTGTGCTGTGTACTAACTAATATATTGCCTTATTCATTCGAAAATTTGCACATAAGTACTATACTCATAGTTATTACCGTAGCTTTTTAGTCCCCGTTCGGACGTAGTCCGAAAACGGGGACTTATGTTTTGCCCTGTGTGCGTCTGTCCGTGCGTGCGTCCGTGATCACCTGTATCTCGAACATGCATGGACCGATTAAGTTCAAACTTCACTCATACATCACACATTATATGGGACATATGCACATGCATTTTTTTCATGATCCGATTAACGATAGCCGAACAGCGGCCATTTTAAGGCCGAAAATGCATCAAAATCGCACACTTTCACCATTCCGGACCCGGATCTCAGTTATGCATGGACAGATTTTGTTCAAATTTGGTACATACATTAAACATAATAGACCTTGATGCACGTCATTTTTTTTTCCGAATCAAGTTCGAAATGGCCGACTGGCGGCCATTTTGTTTTAAAGAATTCAGTTCTGGATCCGTAGCCAAGACATGTCTGGATTGATCAAGTTCAACTTCACACACACAAGTACATCATGTCTCAAATATGTATGTGCATTTGTTTCATGATC